GTTCAACAATGGGAGGGAGAAGACTTCCGGAATGGTGTGAGTGCACCTTCTTTTGCCCCGCCTTTTGCCTGATTGCGTCGTCAGCAACGTCAAACGTTAGGCTTGAGCCTACTAAATTCACTCTCAAAACGCGAACGCAAGACCAACTATAACGTCAACGGCTACTTCAAGGATACACTTCGCGGTGGCCCTCCGAAGCCTGACAAGGGACCCAAGTTGCCGCGCGCCCCGAAACAGACCGTTATGCAAGTTACTCGATCTTCTGAGTAACCTACGAAACTAATTGAGCTTTCAGTCAAGATTTCCAGTTTTATCCTCCTCAGTTGGCAGCGTTACAAGAGCGCGAGCTTGCGGTGCACAAAGTATGTTAGCGGTCCATAGCTTATGTCAGCTCCTGAGACAGATATTCGCAGCGCCTCAACAGTATCACTGCTACAGTGCGGGAAGCAGCAGGGGATGATGATACTCCAGAAAAGCTTGAAGAGGAGCGATTAGAGCCCAGAACTTCATTGACACAGGTACACTTCTTTTATGCGAAGCTGAACATTTTCACTTATCAATATGTTAGCTGAGCCGCTCACCGAAGAAGAACTCGCACAAAAGGAAGTGTACATATCGCAAGGATTCCCGGACTGGGGACGACGAGAATACCAGCAGTTTATCAAGGCATTGGAGAACTATGGATGGTAAGTCTTCTGTTTGGCTTTGTGGTAACTCATACTAACTCTATGTAGGGGGCAGGATCCTGCAGTATACGCCCTTGACGTTCAGGATAAAACTCCGGAGGAAGTCGCCAAGTACTACAAGGTGTTTGAGAAGAAATGGAAGACACTCTCCGGCAAGTCTTAAGAGCGCGAGGCTGAAAGTATTTGCTTACCGAACACTTCCTAGACCACTCAAGAATCGAGGCGAGAATTGCTGAAGGCGAGGCTAAGCGCGACAAACTGGAGTCTCTTGAGAATCTCCTCGAGGCCAAGATCAAATCTGTTCGCTATCCAATGCAGGAGCTTGAGTTGAGCTATCCCCCGACGAAGACCAAAGTCTTCAGTGAAGAGGAGGATAGGTATTTGCTCTGCCGATTGAATCACTACGGGATGCGCACGGAGGAGTGTACGAGAAGATCAAGAGAGATGTTTCCGAGTTTCCTGTTTTCCGATTCGATTGGTTCTTGAAGAGTCGGTCACCGCAGGAGTTGCAGCGGCGATGTCATACTCTCTTGGGCATGCTTGAGAAGGAGGCGGCGGAGCAGGAGGCGCTAACAGCGCCCAAGGGCAAGGTATGGGTACTTTCTGTTCTACTTTGATCATCTTCTCAATCAGGCCACAGAAGCGCGGTATAGAGGAGACAAAGTCGGAGAAGAAGGAGACTGGTAAAACCCAAGAAACCCGCTAAGAGAAGGAAGACGTAGTTTGTCCATCTTTTTGTCCATTTTGTAGTGTATTTTGTTGTTATTTTGGGGAAATGAGCCCGTAATATCCATTTTTGAAGAGGCGCCTTCAGTAGAGCTTGATTAGAACATGGGGCGTGCACTCGAGATCGATAGACGCAACTTCGACAACAGCAGCTGCGCGTGGTCGACAATATCAGTAGGGAGGGTATGCTAGACTGATTTGAGACTCTACGACATTCCAAAAAGGCACATGGAATCATTCAAGTTTAGTAGACGGACGCGCTTCTATTACGCTAGGCGTCCATGCGTCTGTTAAGAAAGTAACAATCCAAGTCAGGCGTGATCGGGAACTTTGATGATGACGAAAACGATTGATGTGCTTTCTTCCTTAGACTTGTTGGAACGACAATGTCTACACCCGCCGCTCCCGCGCCTGCTCCAGGCGGAAATGCACCGGGACCCGAAGCTGAGGAGCAAGGTGGCGTGCGTCGGTTCATGGGGATTGCTCAGGTATGTATATGCATCCATTATGATACTCAATGTTGACACCGACGCAGCAAATATTCATGTTCTGGGCCATCTCTCAACTGGGTACGTCGAGACTCGAAATGTTGGTCTCTCACATCACTCATTGTATTGTGCAGCCACCAGATTTTTCGCGCCTAAAGCCGCGGTGACACCAGATGCCACTACGATGTCCACGCAACCTCCGGGAACGACAAACACAGAGACCATTGACCCATGGTCGCTGCCGCCGAAACAAGCTACTTCAGCATGGCCGCTGGGTGACGCCTTGTCGATGCATGTCTATCTCACTACCTCCCCGCGTCCGGACCTCGCCAACCTCAAAGAAGGCGGCCTCCCGCACTTCGTCTGGGACGGCTTGACATATGGAGACTACAAAGACACGCGGAGTGTTGAATACAACGTCGACTTTCCAGAGGTATGCTATCTGGTATGCTAGATGGATGCTTACTGAAAGGCCTACAGAGCGTCAAACACAACGGATCATTATACGCTGATATATTCCTTCTCCGGAACGGAGCGTCGCTCGATCGTAGCAGCCCATCCTTCAAGCCAGACGATATACACTTCATCCGCAAACGTACGTGTTGCACTGAAAGTTCGGCCTCTGACTGACGCGATATGTGCAGTGCTCACGCCTTACCTGCCACGTGAAAAGGTACGCAAGGCAAAGAATCTTCTGTCCCAAGGCGCTAGCATCGGAGACGAAGAAGAAGAGGAGGAGGCCGACGTTCTCATGCCCCACTGGCACAGTGTGCGTACTTACGCGTTACGATCCAAGCTGTACCTCACCATCCATGTAGAACATCACCCTTGCTCTTGTCTCCGACGCAAGTCCTGTTCCGTACGCCTCGCTACCACCGCCCATCCTCGAACGTAAGTAGCTATCTGTTCCTTTTCTTTTCCATACTAATTCGTTATAGATGTTCACCTCATCAATGGTGTGCGTGACGCCACAGGCACTATCGGCTCTTACAAGCCCATTCTCTTTCCAAACGAGTTCTGGCACTTGCGCTCTCATTATGTCGAGGTCAACACGTCCACGACCGTCCTTCCTGTGACGTTCACTTTCCAGCCCATGTCGTACATGAAGTTCCAGCTATTTGCCTCCATGACCCATGGGTTCAAGGAGGCGGCGAAACAGCAGGGCGGCGCAGGTGTTGCAGAAATGGACGAAATTAAACGCATGCTTTTGGAGACGAATCCGTGGTTCTTGGGCCTCACAGGTTTGGTTAGCATGTTGCATGTTGTGTAAGCCCTCTTTTTATTCGTATTCTGTGTGCTGATCACCTCCAAGCTTCGAGATGCTCGCTTTCAAGAGCGACGTGTCCCACTGGCGAGAGAAGAAGGAGATGGTTGGCGTGTCAGTACGCACGATCGTGACGAACGTGTTTGTTCAGATTGTGGTGCTTCTTTACCTCATTGACAACAACGATAACACGAGTTGGATGATCCTTTTCGGGTCGGGAATGGGTGTACTCATCGAGGCGTGGAAAGTACGTTTTATAAACACCTTCACCGCGCAAGAATTGAATCATGTTTGATAGATTACAAAAGCCGTCGACATATCCATCGTACCCTCCACTGGAACGCTGCTTCCATACAAGATAGACATTAAAGACAAACATGTGCTCAGCGAGGACGAAAAGAAAACACAAGAGTACGACAAGCTTGCCTTCCGATATGTGTCGTACGCGGCGATCCCACTGCTCGCTGGGTACACTGTGTACTCGCTGGTGTACGAGAGCCATCGCGGGTGGTACAGCTTTATCATCTCGACGTTAACGTCGTTTGTGTACATGTTCGGATTCGTGAGCGTCACGTCGGCTACTTGTTCCGGTTAAACTGATAGGTTCAGGCGCAACTGGTACCACAGCTAATCATCAACTACAAGCTCAAGGTGGGAATTTTTGTGTCCCCTTTCAGCAGCAATGCTGATGCAAGTGTCTGCTTAGAGCGTAGCGCATATGCCGATGAAGGCCATGATATACAAGTCGCTGTCGACGGTCGTGGACGACTTGTTTGCGTTCTGCATCAAAATGCCGTTTCTCCATAGGCTAGCATGTTTCCGTGATGACGTGGTGTTTGTCATTTTCCTGTACCAGGTGGGTGTTTATTCTCTTGCTCTTGTGTAATCCTCAATATTCGATCTCCAGCGCTGGATATATAGGATTGACCCCAAACGGGTTAACGAGTACGGTCAGGTTATGGCGCAGGATGCGGATAAGGCAGGAGAGACCGAGTCCAAGAAGAAGAGATGAGCCGGGTCTTGGACTGCTGCGTTTATTGATCCATACTGCTTAATTGGATTAATGAAAATCTTGGATGGAGTCGACGATTGGCACTAGTCTTGTCGACCGCGCCCTACTGGGTAAATATGGTTGAAGAGCTTCAAGTTACGTCGATCGCGGACTTGCTCCATCGTCTGCTACACCTGGAGGCCGCTTCGAAGGTGGAAATTACAGGTCATTCACAGAAATAATAAACGAAGCACACTACAAAACTGAAAATGAGACGTCTTCCTTCGCTTGGCGGGTTCCTTGGTTTTTACAGTTTCCTTCTCCGTCTTGGTCTCCTCAAATCTAAGCCACAGAAGCGCGGCTTAGATGAGATGATTAAGGAATAACACTGTTACCCTCTGGGTAGGTCAATTCTACATTTCCAGCGCTTTACATGGCTGCCTGGCGAAATGGATCGCATCTGACTACTATTACTAGGGAGGTGAAGATTGCAGGTTTGAGACCTGCGGTAGTCATCGTAAGGATGAACTTTGCATTTTTTTCTATATTCTGATTCGAAGTGAGTCCTTACGCTTTCTTTAGCTTTGGGACTGCTTACTTTCATGCGGCTTTCAACAGGATGGGTACAATACTGAAAAAACCTCGATCGGCGGCCGAATGCTTTGACATAGGCACACTCCATTTTATGTATCTGATTCTCAAGTACAGCATCATGCTATTCGATAAAACTGCTGACTGCCGCTGATTCGTACTAAAAGGTGACCATGAAACAAGAGTAGCATGATCAGAGCCACAATTGGCCGTGAATGCCAGGGAATTAATTGCGCCACAAGTGTCTCAAACACGGCTCAATGGTCTAGTAGCATGATTCCTGCTTCGGGTGTTAAAGCCAATGCTTAATCGAGTAAGCATTCATTTGCAGGAGGTCCCGGGTTCAATTCCCGGTTGAGCCCTTTTCTTGGCAGAAGAGTCCTTTCTCCTTCTGATTTTTATCACCTCGACGAGATGAGTACATGAAGGACGTCTCAGTCATACATTTTGGGCACGAAGTTAACAGTAATCAATCAAGCATCTCAAAGTTTGCACATGCAGTAATACAGCTTGGTGAATCGTATTCACCCCCAGAAAATCCTATGTTTTCAATACTTATACATTCTACAGAACTACCGGTCTTGAGCGCTAAGCCTCACGTCAATCTCTTACAGTAGTCGGGATTCCCAGTAGGATTGAGTGCCCAAGTGGGCATGTTCACAACTCGTCCTCCAGCACCTCCGACCTAGTCATAACGATCAATTCAATCCAGAGCCGGAGCAGCAGAAATGAAACAACCCACAGCAAAACTATAAACAAACACCATAACTTCGGTACCACCGTCCAGCGCAGCAGACATCAAGAAATTATACTTTCTGAACCAGCCGGGATGGTATTTCCTGATCCAGAACTGACTGATGCAGCACAGGATAAACGTCCCAAAGATGGACGAGTTGATGCCTCCAGACATGTACCCGATCTGAGTGCAGATCATGGGCGTGATGACCTTGTCAAAGTGTCCGTTGGGATACTTGCGGTGGAGGAGCCAGAACGGGATGGGGACCGCAGCCCGATGAGGATGGACATCGGGATTATCTGTAGGTTCCATAAGCAACCGTCTGGTCAGTGTCTAAATTGAACGTACTCCATATCGTCCAGATGGACTGTATAATTCGCGCGCCAAACCACCCCAGGTCACGGCATTGCTACAGTCGCAGTATTAGTGGTGAAAGAGATCCCATTGAATGCACGACGGACCTGTTGAATGACTGCACGCTGGCGCCGGACCAGACATTCGTTCCTTGCACGCTAAGCAAAATATCACGATTGGCCGAGACGACGATCTTCATGATCACGTAGTTGAGAACCGCTCCTACGACTGCACCAAGGCATTGCCTAACAGAAAAACTCATAAGATACGCTCGACAGGGCCGCCCGAAGCAACGTACATGGTGAAGGTAACGCGCGGCGGAAGCTTGGTGTATTGGCCAATCTTCAGGTCACGGGTCATAGACCGGCCTTGTTCGGTACTGTTGTACGCATACTGAATTCAGATGAGATAAGAGAGTCTCGTGTGCCATGTAGATTCGGCTCATACCATCGTGAAGTACATGTTCGCATGAGGTTTGCCAGGAACGAGCGCAGCGCCGAGCATCTGTAAAAAACAATGAGCTGTTTGTTGTCCGTGGAAGCATACAAGCGAATTACTTGTGCAATGTCCTCAGTTCCTGGAACGTAACTAGCGTACAGCATTGAGCGCTCGTCGGTGTTTTCGGTTCGTGACTCACCATAAAATGGCATATAGAGTCGAAATGATAGGTAAAAAGATGGCGGAAAATCCCACAGCGATGAAGAATGCCCACCTGGAGGAAGTTGAGAGGAAGACAACAAGACAACGGAGAACATACCAAGGGAGTTGGGCTTCTCCAGTATAATTGGTCGCCAATGCCATCGCGATGGATGCCACGAACATGAGTATATACCACCACATAGGGACTTCCTTGTAGACCTTCATTTTCTCGTAGTGCGCTGCAAGTCATTAGACATGTGAAAGTCCGGACATGAAACTGCGCCACACACCATCCTGGACACCACCTGTCCTGGCAGTCTTGATCGAGTCCCACACTTGTTTCCCGTTCCAGATAATCATGTGCGTGACGGTCGCCCAAAAGCCAGACTGGAGCCAATTTTGGCCACAACCTGGGTCGACGCGAACCACGGAAGTCCCTGCTCAGCCAATTTCGTGGCATTGACGGTATAATCATCATTCAAAATGAGCGTCTGATCATATTCTGTTCCATTTGGGTAGAAAAGGAGCTGGGGCAGCGGGCGTGAGATGCTCAAATCTGTAATGTACGCCTTGTCACTTACCTGAGAAAGGAATGGGAAGGTCTGCGCATTCCATACATTGTTGGCATACACACCGGCAAAGCTCAAGCTGGTGTGAACGAGATTAGATGGACAGTCACATAATGATAACGAGATGACCTACATGCAAATCAGGACGCCGACATACAAGACAGTTGAGTGTGTAAAGGCTGAAAGAGCGCGCCATAGGCCGATCCTCCGGAACCAATGTAATTCCAGTCGAAGCATAGAGAGAAGAGGCCTAGACCTTCATTACCAGCCGCGCCACCGAATATACGCGTGACCCAAGCGCTATCCCTTCGCGCGAGACAGAAGATAGAGAATCCGGTCATCAAGGGCGCGATGTACTCCGGTATCCACTCCCAGAAGACTGAAGAGATGTTGAGCTTCACGACTCTCCAATCGCGTACGAGTACTCACAGATGCCCACGAAGAGAACCCAGAAGAACTTGATTCGCTTCTTTTGCAGAAAGTTGTCGGTGCTGCGGTGAAGAACGTCGAACATCTGAACGGCGGGCATGACGTTAGGGAACACGATATAGGTTGGGTAAACCAAGAAAGAGCGCATCATGCCTGGCAGTCTTATTAGCGTCTCGTTATGGGAGCATATGATAGGCATACCACCAAGGCCATACCCGAGCAGCTGACTACCCAACAGCGTGAATATCGCGATCGCAGGATTAGGCTGGAACCCATAGAACAGATCATCAGCCGTGAAAATGCTAATGGCGAGCGCCCCGTGCGTGGCGGCTGCCGACATAATCAAAGTGCCAACATGCTCCTTGATGTTGAACGGTCCAGGGTTCATGAATCGCCAGAATGCGTTATCAGGTGTTCGAGAAACGACAGCCGTGCGCCTGGACCAGGTATGATCTCCTGCAACAACCGACCAAGACCGTACCCTGCAGTCTGCAGGAAAAGCTGAGAGACGTAGACCGTTTGTGGACGGAAGGCCTTCATTATTGTCAGCCCCCTAGTCCAAAGTATGCGCATGGAAGCCTTACGAAAATCTGGCTGAGGACGGCACCAAAGCATGAGAGTCCGAGAGAGCAGAACCAGAGGCGGAATGTCCAGACAGGAAGAGTCGGGTCATCCTCCAATGAAATGAGACGTATCGACCAGTCTTCGGCAGTTTCTGGAATGGATGTAAGCCGAACTGAAGCCATATCTCGTTCAGTAAATTCATCACCTATCGGCCTCTCCTTCCCATCAGCGCCAAGGTCGATTTCACGAACCTCTTCAAACACATCGCCAGGAAACCACGTCTTACTGACGGGAATAGCCTTCTCGTCGTTATCCTTCATCGAGGCCTTCTCGTCATCGTACGAATTGCTACGAGTAGGCGAGGCTTTCTCGACGTTGGGAAGCGCTTTCGCAACGTCGGCGGGAAGAGACATCACTGCCTGAGAGAAGGAAAGAACCCTCGACTGAGGACATTGTACCATGCAGTCAATACATTTAAGTGAATTCTGAAGATAACGTATCTCATGATGGTGTTCCGCTGATAAGTCAACAGCATGCTCGGATCCATGCGAGCGTGTTGTATAATTAGTTCCAGAATCACTGACCTGCAAGTGTTATCTTCGTCAATACACCCCTGGTGGCGCATAAGAAACAACGATATGCTTGGAGCGGTCCGACGCCGGGAACAGTGTATACAGACATGTTCCAGTGCGTCCTGATTTCCCGCGCGCGGACCACGAGACAACTGATGGGAACTAGAAGAAGTTCAACCCTTCAATTTTGCCTTCAATAGCGCTGAGCTGGAGTTGCGGAAACAACGCCGAGACAACCGTGGAATGACCTCCCTCCAGCAAATTCTCGCTGATTCGCCGCTAATCTTGTTTCCTGACATTGGACCTTCTTCACGAGCGGTTGGACTGGAACCAAGTCAATGAACGTCCAACACAAAATAAAGTATTATCTGCAAGTAGAACGAAGTCATGTTGCCTGGTGCGGCTAAGGAGTTCTAACGTAAGGAGCGCTGATAGATAAGCCCGTAGACGGTCGAGAATCAAAGCTCCCTGAGGCCTGATACAAACGAATCTTGACATTGCTGTGTTGACAACAGAAAGGAAAAACACTCGATATGTGTCCAGGCGTACAGATTGAAGATATCATTTTCACAGTCGAATTACCCCATCTTCAGCAGGACTGGCTTTTGCGGGTGAACTGGATGAGGGAGCGAGACCGGAGAAACCTCGCCGTCGTCATCATCGTCGTCGCCAACCATGAAGGGTCTCTCTTCCTCCTTGTCTGATGGTGGCGCGGGTCGAATAGTAGTTGTGGGTGAAGGTGGCGGTGGCGTTGATGGCGGCCGAGGCTGAGAAGCATTGACTTGACTCTGATGGCTGACGGGATTCGTGGAGGGCTGAGCATCAGGTCGGTTTCGTCCTAACCTCACGAAGCCTCCAGTTTCGCCGCCATCGACTCCGGTTTGGTGACTGACGGGGTTCGTCCTAGGTAATTCATAACGACCGCCTTGACCACCTTCATACAAACCACTCATGGTATCCCGGAACCAATCGAGAGCTTCGGATGCGTGATATCGGAAACCTTCGAGAGAAAAGGAAGGTATTTGATCAAAACCACGAAGATTCAGGACGAAGCGATTGTAAACGGTTCCCAAAGTGAGGTAGAGCATGAGCAAAATAAAGCCTCTGTACTCCATATTCAGATATGGTGTGCATTGCAATAAGGCATGACGAAATACTCACAATACTATCAGGGTGACAAAGAATCCCCACGGGCCAGAACGCGCGCCGGTAGGGCATGCAACCTGAGAGGTATCAGCGAACGCGAAGATCGCAGAGTCGATCGTGAACATACGTGTGTTCTCCATTCGACGAAAAAAGAGCAGGATTCTTCTCCCATGGGCAGCTGTGCGACTAGGCGTGGTTGCCCAGCACCAAACACGGCGGTGTCGCACACAAAGTCAATGATTGTGGACGCCTGGCCACTACCGCTAGGACACGTCGACCCGCCAAGCATGTATAGTTGAACAGATCCAGCTGCATATGTGAGCGTCGTGTTGGGCTGTCTATCAACGCTCGTC